AATGAAGAGTGATTTATGCGATGAAGACTAGATGTTCAGCAATTAAATGTTTGCCCTACCATATAAACACTTTGTAGATGTTTCTCCAAAATACAACTTTCCAGGAAGGAAAACAGATGTCAGAACACTGCAGAAAATAGTATTTCTGGCCTTACATCTGAGCTCGTTTATTCATTAATGGTCTTCTAAGTCTACTTTCTAATTCATTTTAAGCATACATGATTAGTCATGTTATCATCTAACTGCTTCTCTCCCAAAAGAACGGATTTATTCTCTTAATACCCTGATAGCAAAAAAAGGACATGTTTATTGAAATGTAGTTTCAAAAATATCTTCACTATTAAACTGTGATGCATGTTTTTGTATTAAGAAATGTGAAGGTATATTTTTAAGAATTTACAAATTCTCTGTCATATTATAATAGCTATGTTCATGATCTATTATACCACTGTTTTGTAGAAGTATTATAGTGAATACACTAAGTCTTTTTGCATAATTATAACTGTTTCATAGGAATATGTATAGAAGCAGAATTGCTGAAATTGTGTTTTTGATACATTTCTATAGTTTTTTGACACCATTTTGAAAAAATCCCCTTTAGCAAGTGCTATCTCAATGTATATTTCTAGCAGCTGTTTGGATACTCTGTTTTCCCACTGAATTTCATCATAGATGTTTTAATAATTTGGTAGGCAAAAATGGCATTTCATTGTTTTAATTCCATGTTTATTATTGGTTGAGTTAAATTCAGTAATTTCTTGTTTAGGGAATTACTGCTCACATTGTTATTTTTTTCCTTGGTAATTGTCTTGAAAAACAAAATTTAGGGCCTCCCCTGTTGGTGCAGTGGTTGAGCGCTGGGCTGCGAAGCTGCCTGCAGCCTCTGCAGCGCCGGTTAGATCCCCAGCCGCCTGCGAGGGTCCCACATAGTGCTCAGACCTCTCCTGCCGCCTCCGCAGTGTATTTAGTCGGTCTGCCTGTTCTGTTTTCCACTCTGGCTCTGGTGAATACTCTCACCCTCCTGCGCTTCTGACTGTACCCAGTGCTTGTATAAATGAATAAATAAATCTTAAAAAAAAATCAACAAAAAACCCCCACAAAATTTAAGTTCATATTATATGTCCTTAGGCTATGTACATTTTGTCACATAATTGTGGTTTCTTTTCTCACATTTAGCCTTAAAAACAATTTGATCCATTGACTTTTTGTTACACCGTTTCCTTATTCCTGCTGTTAATTTCTCCCTGTGATCTACGTTCTGTTGGTATATAATAATACTTACTCTGCCCTTACAATACCGCATTGTAATAGCCAGTGACGTGGCTTTATGACTTCCTTAGGCAAGAGGCGGGAGGGAGGATTATCTATGAAACATCTTTCAATTTTTGTGCTTAACCAAATACCTTGCACATGGTTGGCTCTCAGCAGGTGTTGGACTGTTACAATGTCTGCAGTCTGTCCTTGCAGACACCTGCAAAACTGTGTATTTTCTTTCTTTTTTTTTTTTAGAGGCATGTTTTATTTATTTATTTATTTGTTTGTTTTGTTTATACGTGCACTGGGTACAGTCAGAAGCGTGGGAGGGTGAGAGAATTCGCCAGAGCCAGAGCGGGGAGCAGAGCAGGCAGAAGGACCGAAGTACACTGCTGAGGGGAGCAGCGGGTGGCAGGAGAGGTCTGCGCACCATGTGGGACCCTCCTCCGGTGGCCAGGGAGCAGCCAGGGATTGAACCGGTGCAATTGAGGCTGCGGGTAGCTTCGCAACCCAGCGCTCAACCGCTGCGCCACCGGAGAGGCCCCAAAACTGTGTATTTTCTACCTTTATGCTTCTGCATAGTCATTAGCTGTTTTCATTATCCCACTCAAGAGCTTTTGAGGTATTATTATATATTTAAGAGCCAGGCTTATATTATATAGATATATAATTATATCTATATTATATATATTATATTTATATTATATATAGGTAAGCCAGCTACTTATTTAAGCAAATAAGTAGCCGTTAAAAAGTGACTATCATTGCAACCAGTTAGTTGAATACTACAGATGAAATGTAGTACTCTTTTAAACTGTACATTTTTACTTACTGAATTATCAGTTTATTATGTTACCTGTGTTCTGCTATAGTATAATTTTGTGAATAGATTTACAAATATTTAAGTACATATATTCAGACAAATTATACTGGAATAAACTAAAAATGCTAAATAAATTAAATATTCCTTACGATATTAGAAAGTGATGAAAATTCTGCTACCTAAATCATATCAATTCAAAGAACTCACATGGCTCAACAAAAACAAAATAAACAACCCAGTCAACAAATGGGCAGAAGAACTTAAAAGACATTTCTCCAAAGAGGAAATGCAAATGGCCAAGAGGTATATGAAAAAATGTTCAACATCCCTTATAATCAGGGAAATGCAAATCAAAACCTCACTGAGATACCACTTTACACCAGTAAGAATGGTACATATCAAAAAAACAAGCAACAACAAATGTTGGCAAGGATGTGGTGAAAAAGGAAATCTCCTACATTGCTGGTGGGAGTGCAAACTGGTACAACCACTATGGAAAGCTGTCTGGAGGTTCCTCAGTCTACTAAAAATGGAGCTACCATATGACCCAGCAATTCCACTACTAGGGATCTATCCAAAGGACACAAAAACATTGATTCAAAAAAACACCTGTACCCCTATGTTTATTGCAGCACTATTTACAATAGGTAAAACCTGAAAATGATCCAAATGCCCCAAAATAGATGACTGGATGAAGAAGATATGTTATATATACACAATGAAATACTATTCAGCAATCAAAAAAGATAAACTGATGCCATTTGCAGCAACGGGGATGGAGCTAGAAGAATTATGTTCAGTGAAATAAACCAGAAGGAAAAAGAAAAATATCAGATGGTTTCACTTATAGCAGGAATATAGGGGAACAAAATAATATATCAGTGTAAAAAAAATAACAGTACAAAACACAACAAAGCAAAAACAGACAATTATAAATCAGAGACATACTGCAGGGGAGGAGGAGGGAGAGGGATCAGAAGGAGGGAGAGAGGAGAACAGGGGACTGTGGTAATGGTGCATGGGTGCCTTGGGGAAGGAAATTCTATAGGGACTCAATCTGAGTGCGTGGGGGGAAAACATTTAAAAAATAATAAATAAAAGTAAATCATATCAATTCAGGTAAGCTGTTCATCTTCCATAGTAAGCAAATCTATGGTATGTACATATTCTTCTAAATAATAAATGAGTATAATTAATGTATACTAATACTTGACAACTTTCCTATATTAGTGGATCCCAGGTAAATGAATGTTTAATAGTAATAAATGACCATGAAATCATTTTGGAAATCTATCATGTATATATTGACAATAAAAAAGAGTAAAATGATATGTATTTCATTTTTAGCAGTAATAATTGAGCTATCTAGTTGTGGATGATTACCCCATTTGAAATAGTAATTAAGTCAAGGTGCATTATAATTTTTTCCCATATTATGCTTTGCTAAATTTCTCTATCTTCAACACTTTGCTTTTTGTATGATATTTCCTACTGACAATATTAAATGCAAATATGTTATAGTTTCCTTTTCTATGCATCTAATATTTTGACATCAACCAAAGTCTAAAAGTGTGTTTGGAATCTTGTACATTGAGGAGATGATTTTTATTTGGTAGTCAATATATAATGACTACCTGTCAATATATATTTGGTATATATATATTTGTAGTAGTAGTAGTAGTCAATATATATTTGGTATATAATATACCAAATATACCAAATCAACTCAAATATATTAACTCAAATATATCTCCTAGCTCTTTGGAAATCCTGTTAAAACCATATGTTGGTAAAATGTAGCAGTCTAGTGACTGAGTATATTAAGTTCAACTAGACAAGGGAAACAGAGCATATTTCTGAACATAGTACAGTGATACATGTGTTTTTCATTTAACTATTTTGTTATAAATAGGAACACAAAAAGAAAGATAATCAGTCTTAAAACTCACTCCTCTAACATTGCACAGCATAACACTTCATTTACTACTAATAATAATGTTAAATTCAATTAATTACTCACAAGAAATTTTTAAGAACATTCCCAATGAGCATGACAATGGGTATTGCAAAGAAAATTCAGTTTTATTTTCACGAGACTGTCATCAATGTTGAGTCTTGTAGAAGTCCAAAACAGAAATACAAGTAGCATTTAATTTTATTGACCATTTTAGTCTTTTTTAATTTGATGTTTTGAATAGCTATGTAATACCAGCACAAAAATACTTCCTTTCTTAAAGTTGTATTATGTTTTTGAGACTGGTCTTGAAGGATTTTTGGAACAAATAGTTGTTATGGTACACTAAAGAAGAGGAATATTCTGTCAAAACAGTATTTGCAGTTGACATACAAACTTTTCTAATTATTTGAATTAGCTGACTAAATAAAAGAATTGAAGAAGGTATTTTAAAATGCACTCGATTTTGAAGAAGATTTTATGTTCATACTCAAATCCTTTGTGACTTTTAAAAATCAGAATCAATATTTAATCGACATGCTAATATACCAAATCAAAAACTTTCTTACTATATAATTATTTAAATTGTGCTCAGTCCTTGTGAATTTTGTTACAGATAAGGTCATTTGGTTTGTATAGGATTTTCTTGGTTTCAAAATTGAAAGTCTCATGTTCTGGGAATCCCCTTCTTCCTGGGCAAATTGAGATGGTTAGTTACCTTGTCCACAGATCACTTAATAAATGCACTTTGCCTTACACACACACACACACACAAATTACACAATAAAACCAAGAATAAGGCTATTACTATGACTCATAAAATTCAAATTCACCTTTAAAAGGGAAAATTTATTTAATTTTGCTAGTTGTAAGAATGTGGTATTTGTACAAAGCCTGCATGAAGAAAAAAAGACAGACTGTTTGACATGAGTTATAACAATTATCAAATTTACCTTAATAAATACTTACTTCTGTAAAAACTCTTCACAGCCACATATGCTGAGAAGATGATCTTTGGGGGATAACTGGTCATTTGTGCAAAAATGTAGAGCTTCTGCAATTAAGTCTTTGACCAGATAATTAGCTAAAAACAAAAATGAGTAAGAAAATGTTAGTAAGAACTTATCACATATTGCCTAGGAAAAAGCTTCACAGCACAAAGAAGGATACAAATTTTATGAATTATTATAATTGTGTAGCTCCATCAAGAGGAATTAAAATGAGATGCATTTCATTTTATTAGTCTGGTTAGAGTTATAGGTATTTTTGAAAAATATTGTTTGATTTTTTTTTTTTTTTACAGAATAGTTGGCTGGTTTTTTTTGTTTGTTGTTTTAAGATTTATTATATTGGGGCCTCCCCAGTGGCACAGCCAGTTGAGCACTGCACTGTGAAGCTGTCCACAGCCTCTGCAGCTCGAGTTTGATTCCCGGTCGGCCAGGAAGATTCTCACATGCCGTGGCAGACCTATCCTGTCTCACCTGCTGCTCCCCTCAGCAGTGCTTTCGGTCTCTCTGCCTGTTCTGTTCTCCGCTCTTTCTCTGGTGAATCCTCTCACCCTCCCGCACCTCTGGTCTTATCCCAGTTCTTGTATAAATAAAATAAATCTTTTTTTAAAAAAACAAAACAGTGCTGAGAGGAGCAGTGGGTGAGACAGGAGAGGTCTGCTGTGCCATGTGGATTTCTCCTTGGCTGGCCGGGAATCGAACCCATGCTGCAGAGACTGTGGACAGCTTCACAGTGCAGTGCTCAACCGGCTGTGCCACCAGGGAGGCCCTGAATTTTTTTTATCAGTTCTGTCTTCATGTAGTATAGTAGGACTATAGATTACATTCTTTATTTTTTTTTTCCTGTAGATTACATTCTTAATGTTAAAACCTTGGTCCACTATAGCAGTGCATAAAAGTTTTTCTGTGGTTACTCTTGGGGCTAAGAAGATGCCAAAATCATAACCACACAAAAGTTCCAGAGTTGCATTCTTTGCATTTTCAGCATAAATGAGACTTTTACCCATTCCAAGGGTACCATTATGACAAAAACATTTTTAATTGATGGGAATATGTATTTTTAGTGCACTTATATTACTTAATATTTAAATTCATGCAGTGATATTTAGACAAGTCTACTATAATTAGCATGTGATTAAATTCATGTTTTTCATGAAGACCTGGAAATAGTATAGCCTTCAATACCATTTAATTGATTTACGTGGATATATTATTTCACTTCTTTGCATAGTTTCCATGTTACAATTTTTTATAACAAGATCTATTTCTTTTAGGAATCTGGTGTGAGTCTAACATTTAAAATATATAGTCTAAAGTGGATAATACATTTTAAAATATTAATAAATTATGATGATGAAGGCAACATTAAGAAACAAAATCTCAGGTGAACAACCTAACTCTACACCTTATGGAACTAGAAAAAAGAACAAAGAAAGCCCCAAAGTAGTAGAAAAAAATAACAAATGTCAGAGCAGAATTTAATGAAATAGAGATGAAAAAGACAAAAAGAGCTGTTTCATTGAAACTATAAACAAAATTGACAAACTTTTATCTCTACTCATCAAGAAAAAGAGAGGACTCAATATAAGGACATTTCAGCTGATACGACAGAAATACAAAGGATCATAAGAGACCACTATGAACAATAAAACACCAACAAATTTGACAATGCAGGAGGAATGGATAAAAATATTCAACCAACCAAGATTGAAATCTGAAAAGTAGAACATTTGAACAGACTGTTAATAAGCACATTGAATTATTGCAGTAACCAAAAACTTCCGATTAAACAAGAGTCTAAGATCAAACACACAAAGAAAAATTAATACCTTTCAAAACTTCATATAGTAGAAGAGGAAGGAATATTTTTTAGGGGAGGAAAGATAACATTTCCTTCACCCTCTAGCTTCTGTTTAAAAGAGCAGATTAACAGGAGAAAAATGAATCTGTGCATGCAAAAGCCAAAATATGTGTGCCCATGAGGCAAATTGGTCAATTAAAGCTTATATGTCATACAGAGATAAGGAATAGAATAGGGTCTGGGCCTTCAAAGAAGAGTGGGGGTAATTCCCATGATTATAAGAAGAGCAGGTGCTTCATAATTAGATGTTTGTCCTGTCACACAGATGGGTTATTCAGATGGAAATTTCCATAAAATTTTATGGAAACTATTCCATGGAAATAGTTCTCTTTTGGGATCAGACCAGCTATCTAAATTCTTTTACTTATTTAAATTAGAGGCAATGTCTTTCTTTAATCTGTTGGGTCTTTATTTTCCTCAACACAATAACTTGGTCTAGGCACCAAGCTCAAGTTGGTCCATGCACCAAGCTGGCACATCTGGGAAGGTTTGCTTTGTACTCCTTCAGTTTCTAAATTCATCTTATGAGGCCAGTATCACCCTGATAACAAAATGAGATACAGACACCACGAGAGATGAAAATTAAAGGGTAGCTAATATCTCTGTTGAACACAATTCTTCAAAAAATATTAGCAAACTGAATTCAGCAATAAATTAAAATTATCATAGACCACGATTCAGTGGGATTTATTGTAGGAATATATAGATGGTTTAGTATCCTCAAATCAATTAAAGTGAAGAATGGCAATATATGATCATCTCAAAAGATGCAGAAAAAATATCTGACAAAATTCCACATCTTCTTATGATAAAAAACTCTAAACAAAGTGGATATACTGGGAATATAACTCAAAATAATAAAGGCCATATATAACAAGATGACATTCTGTTCAAGTGTGAAAAGTTCAAAGCTTTATCTCTAAGATCAGGAACAACACAAGGACACCCACTCTGACTACTTTTATTCAACACAGTACTGGAAGTCCCAGGTAGAGCAATTAGGCAGCAAAAAGAAATGAGGCATTGAAATAGGACAGGAGGATGTAAAACTGTCTTATTGGCAGGTAACATGATATTATACATAGTAAACATGAAACTCCACCAAAAGAAAGCAAAGCAAAACAAAATATACCTTTGAACTAATAAATTAATTCAATGAAGTTTCAGGATATAAAATCAATATACAAAAAAATCTGTTGCATTTATATGAAAATGAATTATCAGATAAATTAAGTAAACAGTCCAATTAATAATTACATTAAAAAAATAAAATAGCTTGGAAAAAATTTAACCAAAAGTGAAAGACCTGTACCCTGAAAACTGTAACATATTGGTGATAGAAGTTGAAAAGGACACACATAAATGCAAAGAGGTTCCATAATAGTGATTCAAAAATTTAACATTGTTAAAATGTCTATACTATCCAAAGAAATCTATAGATTGATTCAGTGTAATCCCTTTTAAAATTCCAATGAAATTCCTCAAAGAAATAGAACAAATAGGGTCTCCCTGGTGGCGCAGTGAGTTGAACGCAGCACTATGAAACTGTCTGCAGCTTCTGCAGCATGGGTTCAATTCCCACTCACCAGAGAGAAACCCACATGGTGCGGCAGACCTCTCCTGTCTTGCCTGCTGCTCCCTTCACCAGTGTATTTCGGTTCATCTGCCTGTTCTGCTCCCAGCTCTATTTTTGATGAGTCCTGTGCCTCTGGCCTGTACCCCAGCTCTTGTAAAAAGATGAATAAACCTTTTTTTTTTTTAAGAAATTTTTTTTAAAGATTTATTTATTTATTTTATACAAGCACTGGATACAGTCAGAAGTGTGGGAGGGTGAGAGAATTCACCAGAGCCAGAGTGGGGAGCAGAACAGGCAGAAGGACCAAAGTACACTGCTGAGGGGAGCAGCGGGCAGCAGGAGAGGTCTGCGCGCCATGCGGGACCCTCCTTTGGTGGCCGGGGAGCAGCCAGGGATTGAACTGGCGCTGCAGAGCTGACGGGCAGCTTCGCAACCCAACACTCAAACGCTGTGTCACCGAGGAGGCCCAAAGATGAATAAATCTTTAAAAAAAAAAAGAAATAGAACAAATACTGATGAAATTCATATGGAACCACAAAAAGCTGTAAATAGTCAAATTCCTGCTGATGAAAGTGAAGGAGAATGGAGTTATCACACTTCCAGACTTTGAACTATACTACAAAGCCATAATAATTAAAACAGTGTGGTACTGGAACAAAAACAGACATATAGACTGGTGGAGCTGAATAGAAAACCCATAAATAAAGCCACACATGTATAAACAACTGATCTTTGACAAAAGAGCAAAGGATATGCAATGGAACAAGGACAGTTTGTTCAATAAATGGTGCTGGGAAAATTGGACCCTCCACATACAAAAGAATGAAAGTAGATCACTACCTCTCACCATTCAAAAAAATCAACTCAAAATGGATAAAAGATCTGGACATAAGATATGAAACCATAAAATATATAGAAGAAAATATAGGTAAAACACTATAAGACATACATCTCAGTAACATCTTTAAAGACTCATCACCCAAAGCAAAGAAAGTCAAGGAAAAGATAAACACCTTGTATTGCATCAAACTGAAAAGCTTCTGTATAGCAAAATACATTAACCAAAACAGACACCCCATTGATTGGGAAAAAAATCTTTGCTCCCTATACAATTGTTAAGAGACTGATCACAATGATATACAAAGATATACATGACTTAACAAAAACAAAGTAAACAATCCAGTCACGAAATGGACAGAAGAACTTATGACACTTCTCCAAAGAGAAAATGCAAATGACCAATAGGCATATGAAAATATGTGCAACAACCCTTCTCATCAGGGAAATGTAAATCAAGACCACAATGAGATACCACCTTACACCAGTAAGAATGGCACATAGCAAAAAAAAACTAGCAACAACAAATGTTGTGAGGATGTGGTGAAAAAGGAACTCTCCTACATTGCTGGTGGGAGGGCAAACTTGTCCAATCACTAGAAAGCTCTCTGGAGCTTCCTCAGTCTACTGAAAATGGAGCTACCATATGACCCGGCAATTCCACTACTAGGGATCTATCCAGAGGACACAAAGACATTGACTCAAAAGAGTACCTGTACCCTATGTTTATTGCAGCACTATTTATAATAGGTAAAACCCAGAAACAACCCAAATGCCCAAAAATAGATGACTGGATCAAGTAG